TCCCTACAAGGACAGTATTTTAGAAGACATCGCATTAGTAATTCCTAGAAGGGTAAATTCATGCGGATTCACTAAGGTGTCAACTAAAGGATGGATGCTGTTCACAGCTCTTTGCAGGCAGTGAGCATAACTGAAGGCTAATTTCTATCTAGGCACCTAATCCTTTATACCTGAAGTACTTCAGGATTTAGAGAATACTTCAGCAAGTCTAGTCTTTAGCACCTAAAAGACCTCTTCAGCCGAAAACTACGGCTCTAGGAGACTTCTCTAAGTAGCTGTCAAAATGAGTTAGTTTTTGCCATAATTTTTTAAAACAGGCCTTCTCACAGAGGGCCTCTAATAGTCAAATCAGACTGCTGCAAACTGAATGACAGAATCAGTGACTTATCTTTCCATTCACAGGCTTAGGCTCCTTTCATGAGGTTTATTTAGGACAGCTCAGTCCAACTTGGGAATGCCCTTTGAGCTGGTTTGCACAGCTAAGGACCAGTAGAACAGGGACAGGGTGGAAAGGACCTATTTTCACCGCATTAGATTTAGCACAGGAAAATTACATCAAGCTGGTTCTTTGGGTGAAGATCTCACATTCACTTAATAACAAGAAACAGGAGGAAATTTCACTAACATAGTTGCAAGCAGTACCTGGATTACTGAAATTGTTGCAGGCTTGACTAGCCTTTCCCTGCTTTGGGTGCCATATAGTCAGGTACTCCTGCAGCTTGGCAGCCATAAGAACATGTCTCATCTCAAACAGTGAAAGGGATATCATATCCCTATCCTGTGAATACAACAGCTTCCCAATAATCCCACTGTAATTGCAGAACAGGACTGTAAATGCAGCTGTATACCCAGAGTGACCTGGAGATACATTTCACAGCAACCTTGGTGTCCTGCTTTTCCTTGCAGCTGTGGGTTCAGGCTATGCAGGAGTTCACATACCAGCATAAGCACAACTGCTGGACACATAATGTAACCTTAGCTTAGAAGCTGTATTTGAGTTACTCAAGAGACCTACTGCAGCCAACACTACACAACACAGTAAGAGTTTGCTTTTGAGGCAAGGTTCTGACAATAATATTCTGAAACATGCACAAGAAGGATTTTTTTTATAAAATAAGCTTTTAATGAATAAGAAGACTTATATTTGAACGTATGTTTACACATGCTTTATACTACTACCTCCATGCCAAGACAGCACACAAAATCTGAGGAAAGAATATATTTCCTTAGGCCAGATACTGAGTTTTACGTTTTATTCCATACCACCAAAATACTGTCCTGTGATACTAGAACCACAGTTTCCTGGTGAAGCCATTAAAGAACAAACCAGTAGTGAGACAGAAAAAGGAAGAGGAAGAAGACAACACTCTGCATTTCTAACTTCCAAGCTAGTAATTCTTGATGGTACAGTTTGAAAGGTAATATATTACTGGAAGTTGACAGTCATGAATTAACTTCAGAACTGAAGCTCATGTTCACTATACTAAATTCACCCTGGGCTTGACAACTGTTATTTATAAAGTCCTAGGAAAGATAATACAATTTTGAAATCTGGTAATAATTACATTAAGAGATATAGCAATTACATGAAGAGCTATACTTTACGTATTATTACTTATCAACCTATTCCCCCCATCTTTGTCCTATTTCTGTTAGCATACTAAGGAACTAGCAATCTGTTATTTGGCACAATTAAGTTAGTAGTAACACACTAAACCAGAAAGTGTCTGAAGTTGCATCTGACACCATATAGTGGCTTTGAAAACACAAGCACTTGCCACTGAATCTACCAGTTTTAACAGCTGACAGACAAGCTTCACGTTCCCCGACCTTGCTCTCAGCTTCCTGAACAACTGCTGCCAGACAGCAAGAGGTTCCATGGAAACCCACACCAGTCCTCCCACTTTCCCCCCTAAATTGATGATATTTGGTCTTGAAATTTCATTAATTTATCCAACACTGAAGAAATTCAGCTGCAAGACATGAAGGAAAAAACCCTCTATATAGCAAACAACCATAATATAATGCAAAATAGTAACTTCCAGGATTCCTCAAAGCTGAGGTATCCATGTGCTTATTTTCTGATGCTTATATTCGGACACTTGCTGTTTACTGCCTCTTGTGAGATGGAAACATAAGATAAAGTGATCATTTGTGTGCTTGATTTAAAATTACTAAGATAACTCAGCTATGTTGGAGAAAGCTAACTAAAACTCCTCAGAACACTTGGCTAAAAGACTAATGTTTTGAAAATCTTTCATCACAGGTATTAAGATCCAGCTACTTGCTGGTCTTTTATGATAGTTTCTTGAGGTCTTATGTCACTGAAAACAGCGACAGAACCTTTCTTTCTTTGGAAAGAAAGCTTATGCATCTTCATGTTTCAGCCACTGCCATTAGAGCTACGTGAAACAAGATAGCATTCGCTTCTTAAGGCACACTTAAGAAAGCACACTCTCAATTGGCTTCATGTTTGTTTAAAGCTGAATATCTAAAATGGATAAATTAGACTCCAAAAAGCTATAGTTTTATTCCTGCTAGTTTGTACAACTGAGCTAGCCAGCATTGCTTTTGTAAATGCACACACACAACCTGCACAGTAGCTCTGCAGAGCAGGTTAGTGCCACGAGGCAAAATAGAGAGAGACAATCTTTAGGCAGTAACACGGCTTCTCACAACATGGTAGTTTATAACATCCAAAATGCACACAGGAATACCTGAGAAGAAACTAAAGTTTTTTTAAAAGCCTGTTTACACAGATGGTGATACAAGGTTGAGAGGTGCATGACTAATGGAAATAGCTGGAACAGAGCAGGTGCCTTTATTGCAAGAAATGCCTACAGCACCCAAGATGAAGCCACTTGTGTTGAAACAATAGCTTGGCTATCCCAAGAGAACAGTATACATACACAAAGAAAGGATAATCATTCCCCCATCTTTCTGCCCAGGAATCATAAAGCACCCATTGAGGTATCCAGCTCTTAAGTTACTGATATATGAGAAAATTATTTTATATCCAAGACATTAAGATTCCTCAATAAAGACAAAATATTCAAGGGGAAAATATTTGATATGGCTAGTGTTCCTGACATGTATTCTTAACATACTACAAGATTTTCTAAGGCAAGTATTTATTTTAATATCCATGCTCAATGCCTATTTTCTTTGCTTTCCCTCTGCTACTATTTTTTAAATCCTAGTCAGCAAGTAACTAAAGAAAAAAAGAGCCTACAAAGAGATTTCATAGTTATATTACAACATTCTGCTACTTTAGTTTATTTTCGTTCTAGAGTGACAAGTTTTAAACAAGAAACTAATGTGCCTAAAAAATCCTTTAAAGAATGTCCTGGTTTGAGCCAGGGTGAAGCCAATTTTCTTTTTACTGTTTTTTTTGTGTTTTTTTTCCTTTTAACTAACAGTAAGTCTTCCAGGTACTGGACTGATAACACTGGAATGTTTATACTGCTGCTAGGACTTCAAGGTCACTGCTTGACTTGTTGAATCTGCAGCTCAAATGCCGAATGGAACGCAAGAATCCTATCTGTAACTTTCCCATAGGGAGGGGTGGACTAGGCAGACAGCAAAATTGGCCAAAGTATTCCATTCCATGTATCTACGTAGGTTCAGTGTGAGTTCAGGAATCATGGAAGTCAACTTCCTTCCTGATTCTTCTTCCCTTCCATTCATGGCCATCATCTGGGGAGGACTCTGTCTATCCATCATCACTGATCCCTAAGCTTGT